TATATATATATATATATATATATATATATATAATAATAAGAGTGAGACATTATGCAAACAATATACTCTAGAAGTGGATCTCACGCCAAATCTAAACTGAAACTACCAACTCAAGGAAGGGAACAGAGACTCTGGGAAGTGACAATAGAGGACTCGAGTAGTTTAGGCCAGACACAGACAGACCAAGCTCTCTATTGCACTATTCCGACCAAAACTTCACAAACGCTGTTATGAACGATTTCAGAATCGCCACAAACGGGTTTGTTTCCACTGACCCGTCTTTCCACGACTCGCTGCACGTTAAAAGATGATGATGATGATCAGTCCTTTGTATAGTCGACTAAAAAAAACTCGAGAGGGCTTTTATTTAATTATATGTACTCACGGTTTGATTCTGTTCAGTGTTGGGATGCTTCCTTCCCGAGAACTGGAACCTGCCATTGCCTCGATTTCGCCATCTTCCATTGTTGTCTCCCCCTCGGCAACTGCTGCTTCTTCGACATTACTCTTACCATCAGTTTCTGTACCGTTGTTCTCGGCTTTTCCTGACTGTTTCACAATATGGACATCATAAAAGTTGCCTGTTCATAGTTCAAGTCCAGTTGCAAAGTAGCTTGCTCGGTTTTAATGAGTGATTAAACCGACCGTTTTACCTGATATCTGTTAACTACAGAGCACAATTCATGACCAAGATATACATCTTTTCCTCCTATTCTACATTTCACGAATGAACAATTCGAACAGATGCTAACTAGTACCCCGCATCTCGGGTACCCAAAATAAGGCAAACTATTAGAAAAAACCATCACCAGTCTTGACCCATCCATCGATACTACCCATGCGTTTTGAATGGTACCAGGACTTATCAGAATACTCTTCTTTGTTCGAGGGTTTCAAAACTATCTTTACATGCGAAAAAGTTACAAATATAAACTTGGAGATCATACCTCGTTACTGTAAGTTGGCAGTTTCTGTTCACTTGTCCAGGCACTCAAGGTTCCATTGCTAGATTCTCCGGTTTCATCGACATTGTTGCACAAGGCATCCATGACCACAGAGTCTTCATCATTCACGCACTCAATATGTATCGATGCAGGGTTTATAATGTTTTCTCCAACTAATGGATCAAAAGTTTTATTTCCCGGTTGGTCAACAATGACTCCCGTCTTCTTTTCGCCTGTTATGAGTGAAGTAGCTAAAGACACTTCTCGACCGGCTGTATTTACGCCGCTGCTATCAGCCTCCAAAGTCTTTCCCTCAGTCCCGATTCCTGTTTTTCCAGTCTCTTTAGAATTCTCCAATTCACCAGTCTGTTGATTGCACGAGTCTTGGAATGGAAAAGTCTCGACAACTATACCTTCAGACATGTCAATCATCGTAGTGATTGTGTCTGACATGCTCCCTGTTAAGTTCATCGTTTCGGTCATTGCTTCTGTATCATCCTTCACTGTTTTGTCTACTTCAACTGGTTCTGCGGCTTTTGACTCACTGCAAATGACTTCCACATTTTTCTTATCATCCATATCAAAATGCATTCCATGGACATTATTCCCATTCTCAATCTTTCTCTCTCCATGTTTCACGGGAAAACTACCATTTAGGCTCTCTGCACTCTCGTGCATGGCCATATCATGCTCCGACACATTGTTCTCTCTGCGCGATGCAGGAAGAAACTCGGATATTTCAGAAGCGGAACTCGGAGAAAATTGCACAAGCAATCCTGCATTTTCTTCCAAACTTTGACTTGTTTCTGATTTCCCGCAAACCAATACGTGAGATTCTCTATCTTTCTTGCCTTCTTGGCTCCCATTGATATTTTCCCCATCTCCAAGTGTCTTAGCTACCTCGGCCTCAGAAGAACAAGTACTGGGAACTACCACAAACTTGTCTAGCATATGCTGCCTGTGATCTAAATCAAGCAAGCTCCCATTAGGGGACAAAGATAAAGGTGCCAAAGGTCCCGTCAAGATTGAAATTGATTGACTTTGTTCTTGTTCCTGGTCAGTGCCTTTTTCCTCAAAAATCAAATCCGCAGGACCAAGGACCCTATTTTCTTGGATTATCTCTCTGAAAATCTCTCTTATAGTGTAGAAAGATCCACCAACTTCCTTGTGTGTGAGGCTAAGAGATGGAAAATTCCCACTGTTCAGCCTTTGATGCCTGAAAACAATCACCAATGCACAACACATGAACCTTCACATCCAGATGAAAGCATTTTCACAACTCTATAGCAATGGATCGAAAATCCAATTTGTAACTAAATTATGTTATTAGCAAGGATGCAACTTCCTAGTTTTTGCAAAACATAATTGCTGTAAGGTGAAAGAACTTTAAAAACGCCAAAACGTTAACTAGCATACAAGCTGATTTGTGTGAGAAAATAACACCATTTATGCAGTTAAATATGTATATATGTAGGACAGACTGTGTCAGGCTATTACCCAAAATCTGGTCAAATAGTTAAAGCCATAATCCATGTCTTAGAAGGAAAAAAGAAAATAGAAATTTGCCACCAGACTCACTCGTAAAGGTGAAGAAATATCAATCTATAGTCCTAATTCCAACCTAACATAACATAAACAACAACATGGGTAAACAGGAAGATTTAAACAAAAAGAAAAACGATCGAACAAAGTAAGGGAATTAACATGTTACTTCTTTATAAAAGATTCCACCAATGCTTTTCTCTCCTCTCTTGGGATCCGATTGCGAGACTTCTTGCCACCAGACTCATTGGACTTAGCTATGGCAAATGTTCTCCCAGACCAAGTAACCTTTATAGAATGCATGTTGTCTAGAATGTTCAAGCAGCCCTGTGCCTGTTATAGCGTGTTCCATAATCAGATTTTGAGGGTGCATAATTACAAGGATAGTAACACACAATGCCAACGTCAGACGGGAATTCAAAAGAAAATTCATAAGGCTCCAGTTCGGCAAGTTAATGGAGTAAGATTCAACAGATCAGTTTGGAGCATAGAATTTTCCGTCTACTTCTGCGGTATAATGAACTCGCACAACAAAAGATACATTATCTGAAGCTAAGCAAAATATTCAAACTTTCGTCAACATCCATTTGAGACAGAAATACAGGAGATACCAAAACCAACCATGTCTACGGAAAATTCTCCAGCGATTTCATGGACGACGGCGGTCCGACTGGGAACTCACCGGAGACGAAGCCGTCTAGGTCATGTTTTCGTAAGGATTCCAAAATCAAGTACATTTTGCTTAAAGGGGACCTAAATCCCGCCAAAATTTGAGCATCTCTCTTCCCCGACGCACATCGTCGGCTACTCGAGACAGACAAGGAAGAAGAGTGATATCACTCACCGGAGCAAGGCTGACAAGAAAAAGGAGGCGGAGGGGCCGACGGAGAAAGCTCGAGCGCCGGCGAGCCTAAAACCCTTGGAGGAGCAACATTTAGGAAATCACGTCACTGGTCTCTATCTCTGTGTGTGTGCCTGACCCAATTCTTTCTTTTCCATTTATTATAAGTCCTCAATTCATTAATATTTTTGATTTCACCCCCAACTATATGATTTAACCAAAAATGCTCCCTAAAAATCTTGAATTTAACCCTAAACTCCTTGAAATTGACACAAAAGGCCCTAAAGTAAAATAAAATGCCATATTTAATCCCATTTCTAAGAGGATTGAGTAACAAGTAACTCAATGTGTCCGTATGTCATAATACAAAGGAGACAGGTTGAATTACAATAAAATGTGGTAGCAAACCCCTAAACACCTCAAAATAATACAACTCTTTTTAGCACCATAAAAATAAGAATAAATAAATTAAAAAAAATAGCGAATCACATAAACAGAGTGGGATTGAGATTGCACGTATAATAAAATGAAGGGAAAAAAACAGAAAATTATGTAATAAGGTTATAGATCAATGTATTTTTGGACCAATTTTCAGGCAGAAGAAATCAATCCATAATCTTTAGCACACAGTAATCGACAAAATGGGTCAAATCAATACAAACGTCCAAATATGATCACTAACTGCAGGTAAATCTTTCGTTATTGTTTGGAAGGAAGGACGTCAAGTATTGGGCTCTTAATGGGCCTAACGTTGGATCTGATGTTAGACGCGGATTTTTATCATACGGGCCTCACCGGGCCCGTTTAGATTTTAGGAAACATTTTAGATTTTCTTCTTTCGCTTTTATTTTCCTATACTACTATATTTAAATTTAAAATTTTATTACTTACTCGTATAAGAAACATTGAGTTACTAGTGTAGGAACTTGTTAGTTGTTAAGCGTATGCGTGTTTATGTGTGGATTCTTTAGTATACTAGAAAATTTTGTGAAATATATTTATTAAACATGTTTAATATATATATATATATGTATGTATGCATGTGTGCGTCTGTACGCACGTATTAACAAATACAGATTCTAAATATTACTTTTCTCATATTTTAATAAAAGAAATATATTATATTGTCTAATAATATGCACATTTTATTGGGCATTAAGTTCGTGACTCAGAAATTCAACGGTCAATGATGTAACTATATAAATTTATAAAACCTTAGTCATCAAAACGTGTTTTAAATGTGGATAAAAAATCACACGTTTTCTAATATTGGATGTATACATACAGTTTTTTTTTTTTATAACTAGGAAGTTTACCAAATTTTCGGTCTGACTACATCTTTCATGGTCCGGGTTAGGGGTGTCAATTTGGGTCCGAGGCCCGAAGTCCGGCCCGGCCCGGCCCAACCCGAAAAATAGCGGATTTCGGGCCGAAGTTTCTTGGTCCGAAAAAAATCGGGCTTTCGGACCGGGTTTAAATCGGGCTTCGGGCTCGAATCGGGCCGGCCCGAAAGCCCAAAAATTTTAAAAAAAGAAAAAAAAATAACATTTACAAAGAAAATCCGCGGACCGGCCCGATCCGAGCCCGGAATGCATAGGACCGGACTTCGGACTTAAGTATATAGACTCGAAAAAAATTGGGCCGGCCTGAACCCGAACCCGAAACTTCTGGGCCGAGTACGGGTTCGGGCCGGGTTGGGCCGGGCCGGCCCGATTGACACCCCTAGTCCGGGTACAGCCTTTAAAGTGCAAGGGTTCCGAGAACAACACACCGTTTTTACCATTTTTTGTTATAACGTATAGATGGTTTTTTTTTTCACTTGGGGGTAAACTGTGAAAATAGAACGTGTCAAAGGTCTTTGGTTCTCATAATAAGTAACCTACTAGTCACGTCTCTCTGACCGAGATACAAAGAAGGTTTGACCGCCACTGCGAGTTATAGTTAGAAACCTTCTAGAAGCTTCCGGTTGAACAGATTACAACCTAATAATTACATGGCTTGAATCTTCTAATGTCACACACACACACACACCCCTTGAGATTTTTCTTCATGTCCTTTTTAGTTCCATGGATAATTAAGTAGTGCATTCCGATATGCTTCCTTTTTAAACATTTCATTATAATTGATTCAATAGAAAGATTGCAAAAGAAATAAGTAATTCATGGTTTAAACTCATATCGGTATATCTATCTTTTTTTCGGTTCCACAAACAGAAAATATGTGCGCAAATTATATCCAAATTAATTCTAGTTTTTTAAATATTAATTGGATCAAAGATTCGATAAATTTTTGAATTTAAAAAAATTTATATCCATATATAGTTTTGGTGTTTTTACAGCACCGCGCAATATAACTATATATATATATATAATCGATATAAAATTTCGTAGAAAAATAAATAAAAATTTCAACACTTTAAATGATAATTTTATAAACATCTATTAATAAATTATTAATTTATGGAGATAATGACCCAACTTGAATAATTCAACTAGTGAAATAAGAGATGCAAAATATCTATTCTATTTCGAATTCGAATTCTAAATTTGGGAGAGAGATTGAACATGACTTATTCCCGAGAATAATCTGGGCCTCATCGTAAAATATATGATTACCAAAAAAAAATTATGGGGCAATGCTTGCTTCGTGCGAGTTTCACGAGCTTTGGTTGAAGTCTCTTCGCCGCCGGTCAATGTTGTAAGCCTAAACTTCTGACTTCAACTCTTCCACTTGACTATTTATTTGGTTGGCCATCCATTACATTCAATTTTATTTATATTTTCATAAATTAAATAAAAACTTGTTTGACCTTTGCCACGTTCATTTTATTTTATATTTTAAGAAATAATTATAATATCATTAAACGACCATTATCTTTGAAATACACACTTCTCATAAATAATTTGGAATTAGTAAGTTCGAAACTCTTATATATTACTCAAAACTATTTGAATGGTCAATGAAATTATTTCATTGGGTAAGTTTCATGAATATCGTGAACTTTTTTTTTTGTCAAAGGCTCATACGTGTGTATATAATTTATTAACTACGCAACACCATTTGCTGGTTCCGAAGCATCCATGCATGACGGCTACCAAGTTCAAAGGACCCATTTTAAAAAAATGTTTTATCAATTTATATCAGTATCATCATAAATATTATTACATTGACTATATCAAAATTCGACATATATATATATATATGTACTTAATATATAATTTTTAGTTAACAAAAAAATATATATGTATGATTTTCATTTTTTTATGGTATATACTTTTCCTACCACCAATAAATTTCGTATTAGAGACATTTCTATTCGATATAATTTTATCAACATACAACTGATAATTTGTATATCATGTTTTTCCTATGTTAAATATGGTTATATTTGTTTAAAAAATACATCATTATATTTAGAAATTTAACACATTATAAAATGTAACAGGTATTTTTTTTAGTAAACTTTAAATGTAAACTAAAAAAAATAAACATGGAAAACAAATAATTACTGTATTGAATGAAATGAACCAATCGTTTATCTTCTGTAAGCCCTCCTTACAACAATTGCACTGATAAATGCAACTGCATATCAACCATAAGCATTCAAAATGTTCCATCTCAATTGCGTATATAAACCATTCCACCAACTATGTACCAAAGTTTCACTATAATGTAAAATGTCTATACATAAACCCCTTATATCTTATTGATTAAATTAATGCACATTCAAGATATAAATACAATTGAATGTTAGGAAAACTACAACAAGAGAGTCCTAAGGACAATATATAATATAACCTTATTGCATGTGGTCACATGTTTTGTTATATCGGTCGGCTCCTCCATGCCCGCTTTGTTTTCATCAATTCATGTTTTTTTTAAAATATTATAAACATGATTTTAAAATTGTTCTTAGGGCGTATCCGATGTAACTTGTAACTATTAGTGTGTTTTGTCCTTTCGGCGATATAGGTATTACCGTTATTTCTAGGGATGCTAAAAAAAACCCCTAAACGATATTATTATTTAATTTTCAATTTCAATAAAAGAGTCCTAGTCAGCCACGGCCCACGAACAACAATATACCCAGTCAACAGACTCAACCCAATGAACTTTCCCCGTAATTTTCTCATAATTTCCTTCCTTTTTTAAAAAAATAATTTGGTTCTGAGTTTCTAGATTTCCCCTTTTCCAATTTATTATTATTTTCTAACACCACAAATAGTAAATATTTTAGCTTTTACATAATTTAGTACGTACAAATTCATCACATATATGTGTGTGTGTGTGTGTGAGATTACTGTATCTATGATTTAATTTTTTTTTTCATTTGCCATGGATTCATGACGTAGTGTTCACATATGAAAAATGGGTACTACCCAAAAAGGTTACAAATTTGATCTTATCTCCTAAAATTGGTATAATTTTCGATGTAATTAATGTTTTGGTACTTTTTTTTTCACTTGCCACCAAAATCTTTTTAGTAATTTTCACGTCTTAATTGCTTTAGTTAAAATATATCCTTTTTTGGCCATATACAAATTAAATTTATTTTTTTAGTTTCCACTTCTGGCCTTTTTTTAAAAAATTCCCATTTTATTTATATTATATACTATTATATATGTGTTATTAATTTCATTTCCCTTTCCTTCTAAAATCGAGTTTCCTTGGTAAATCCGCCCCCACAACATTCAATAGAAATTTCACCCGAGATTTTTTTTTTTAAAAAAAAATCATTGTTTTAAAATTTATCATCGTCATCATCATCGTCAGCATCACCATTTGTCTCTTTCCATCACATTTTAAAAACCCTACAAAGTCTCTGAACCTTCTTCCACAATCTCACCTTTCTTCCTTCCTCTGCAACGAAACCTCTACACACCGAAATCCCAAATCAAAATCAAAATCCAAATCCCCCCGAAAAAACCCTAAATTCAAGATGGGTCTGAGCAAGGAACTAGACAAGTGCAATAATAAGCCCAGAAGATGTTCGTCGATTTGGAGAGGGATCAAGACAGTGTTCGTTCTGTTCACCATGTTCGTCTCTTTCCTTCTCTTCTCTGCTCCCATCCTCCTCGCCGTCGCCGATGCCGTCGTTCCCTCCGCCCTCCTCTCCGCCGCCTCCCTCCGCCGGCCTTCTCTGTCTTTTCCAGCGACTCTCTCTTCTCACCTGAGCAACTACGATTTCAGATACTCTCTCATCGACATACCTCTCGTCTCCATCGTTAGATCCGCTGTTATCCTCTGTAAGTAATCGAGTTCTTATAATCTCTGTCTTTGTTTATGTCTGTGTTGCAAAAATCTGACATAAAGGTTTGTTTTTTTCATCCTTCGTGTCCGATTTCAAGAACCCAGAAACAGAGTTCCGTTGCTCTGTTCCTGTTTTACACAAATCCCAGCTAAGAATTGAAATCCCCGAGTTCTCGGAATCGTGAATTCGTTGTTCTGTTTTTGTTTATTCCGAAGATTGTGTGAACAAATGGTGAATTTCTCAGGTTATGCAAAAGTATTGGGGCTAGTTTGAAACGTGTGGGAATCTTGAACCATGAACTGTTGGTCTTTTCACATGATGATTTCAACAAAAACAAAAGCCACTTTTAGATACCCAGAACCAGTTTCACACTCCGCACAACATTTTTCAATTAAAGATCCAATCTTTCGATGTACCCAGAAACTGAAAATATCAGAATCATTCATATCCTTCTCTGATTCCTTTAACAGGCGTTTACGGACTCTGCGACGGGCCGAGGCTATCAAGAGGTCCGTATCTGACAATAACGATGATCTGCTCGATCTTGTCTTTGATCTACGTGTCGTTGAAGGCTGCTTTCATGTTCGGAGAACCGGCGGCCGACTCCTCCGGCGGCGGCGGCGGAGTATACTTCCGGGCCGCCGAAGTGGCTCTGTTCGTGTGTTCGTCGGTCTTAGCCATCGGTCACATCATCGTGGCTTACCGAACAAGTTGCAGAGAAAGAAGAAAGCTCCTGGTTTACAAAATCGACATTGAAGCCGTAAGTTTCCCCACAGATTCTTACCCATTTTTTTATTATATTTTATATACTCAACCGTTGAGGGAAATTATAAATTATTATATGCGGTTTTGATATGATTTGGGATTATATTCCTTCGTGAAAAAGATTAGCAGTAGGACCCTTTTTGCTTAATTTTCAGACGTTAGATTATTGATCGTAGATTAAAAAAAAAAAAGATTCCTCTCTATGCCCACGTGGGATTTTACCAATGACAAATATGAATTGGTCAGAAAAAGCATGTGATTATAGTCAACGCTGAATTTTAATACAATCTGGCATTTAAGGGATAGGGTTCTAGAAACTGTAGAAAATTTTGTAATTTATAGGTGGGAAAATGAATGTCCATTGAAAAATATTTGAATTTTTAGCTCAGATAATCACTAACAAAAAAAACTATATTGATTTGAAACTAAGATATACAGTATTTCATGTGAATGTTTAAGCAAAAATAATAGTCTAACAATCTACAGTATTTTTTGTATTTGTTTCGAAGTTAAAGAAGTACATCTAAACTTTAATGTAAATTCGATTATTTTAATTATCTAAAAGTAAATTATGTTTAAATTCCTATTTCCCAAAATGTGATTTTATTTAAAATGGATGGACGTTCCCGAGTGGGAACCGTGTGGATAGATCATGGGCTTAATTTCTCTCTGTCAAATTATAATAATCCGACATGACACGTCACGCATCATCATGCATGTCCCATGATGGCTTTATCTCAATTACGAAACTGCAATATTACCTAAAAAAATATCATATCATATTATATTTGCTTTAGCATTACACATTAAATGTTAAATAAACACAATAATTAAAAAGTTTAATTTCCGTTTATGCGATGATCCATGCAGGTTTCAGCTTGTAAAAACGGCTTCCCAAGATACCAGAAGATGCTACAACAAGAGAGGATCAAATAACGCATTCAAGAACTCGGAAGCAATGTCTCCATGAGACATCTACACATGTACATACACCTATACATACATACACATTCATGAAGATCCGACTTCTTCTAGGTTTCGTTGGTTTGAACCCATCATCTGCTTCCCTTCTAAGTTTCAGGTAACAATAATTTATTAAACCGAATCTCTTCCTTGATCCATTATATAATTATGTGAATCTGCATAACATATTGTAAGAGTATTATATACATTTTTTTTTGGTACGCATGCGTTATATAATCGAGGTAACCAACTTATATAAGTGCCTTTTTTTAATGATTCTGTTGCAGAACGGTCCAAAGGATAATCTGTAAAGCTGGAGGAACAGAGTGGATGGGCCTAACGTATGTTCTGTAAGAATATATACACATATACAACATAAAGGACAACTTCTGATGTATTGGCAGTTGTTACAATTTTAAAATTTAAATACCGTAGTGATAGAATCTTTAGATTATATATATATATATATATATATAAATATATAATCCACCGTATATAATTTGTCCTTTTTGTATACAACGGGGTTCATCAATGAGAAACAGATGCCGAAGGCGTCTTTTCTTCAGTATCTTTCTATTTTTTTTTTGTATAAATGTATTTTATGGAATTTATATGGGACTATGGGCGACACTAAACAACTCCACATATAGTTGCTGTTTAAATTATGTTGATGCCATGGCATGTGCCCTGAATTTGTTATAGGGACGATGAGTCCAAATATAATATTGACAAATATAATAACATTGTGACAAAAAAAAAATATGTATTTGGAATTATCTGATTAGATCACTTTATGAATGAGTTGCTGTTACGACTTTTTAAAATGGACTTCGGGCGTATATTGATAACATATATAAGCCCATGAAATATATTTAACTTTTTTTAATGGAATGTTTTGACAAATTTATTTTTGAGTTTATGATACAACTCGGATTTATAAAGAAGTATTTAAAAGATAAATGTTAACGTAGGTTAAGGAACTGATTGGATTGTAAATTTGTTATGGATTGGAATTTATTATTTTATACTAGTCTCATCAATTAATTATATAAACATGGAATGACAATTGGGCCCAAAAATGAAAAAAATATTCACACTAAATCGAGCAATGGTTTTGTCTATATATTAAAATAGCTCGATGGCATAAATCAAGTATCAGTGTTCCGGTGCTTACGTATTACGTAGAAATCTGTTTATTTTTAAAAAATGTGATATAATAATATTCAAAGTAATTTGAGCCTCCATATTTACATGGGCCGTGTCGATAATTGTTATATGGGTTAATGGGCTTTCTTGTGATGGGCCTTTGAGGAGAAAGACTACAAGAATGAGATGCGAATTCATATTTTAACATGTAATTTGGATTAAAATGTCAATTAAAAAAAAAAGAAAAACAAGAAAACAAGAAAGAAAACCTTAAATTCATACAACAACCTTTGGGGGACCAAAAGAAAAAGAAAAAAAAAAAGAAAAAAAAAATAGTGACACACAGAGAATAGTGTAAAGGGACCAAACACACAACCACGGACAGATAAGGCTGAGATAAGGCTTCTTATATTCATCACAAACAAAACACCTTATTGTTTTTATATGCAAAAAAAAAAAAAAAAAAAAAAAAAAAAAAAAC